AAAAAAAAAAAAAGTCTAGGACTTTCTGTTTCCAGGTTATGAAAATAAGATATAAAAGCCAGTGAAAGTTTCAGTTTTGAATCAATATAGATGAGCAGGCTATTTGGATGATAACTCTCTTGAATGCTTTTGCCCAGCAAGCAGCCTTCAGCATTACCGTTGCCTCTAATCCTGGAAACAACATTTTATCTCCCAAATATCTGTCTAATTTGTGTAGTGTCTGATCCTTGCGAACTGAAGCCTGCTTCCCTACTGTATCCATTGGTGAGAAACTTCACTTGCCTCTGGAGTAGAACAGAAACAATATGCTGGGATTGTTTACTTGTTCTTTAGTCACAGCAAAAGCTAATAAGGACAAACATAACTATTTGGTAGGCAGAAGATCAGCATAAAATTCAGGAAAGTGATGCCAATACACTTTGATTTTTCCCAGAAAAATGGCACCAATGTTGTTGGAGAGGCAAGCAAGGATTTAAATCCTTGATCTTACACTATAAATATGTTGAGAGATTCTACCTCAACCTTTTTTCCTCGGATTTGAAATCAGATTTCTATGGAAACTGTCTATTACAATTGAAACACTGAAAATGGATCAGAGGAAGGAAATGAATGTATTACAAGATTACTGTATATATAACACAGCAAAACAGATGTTTTCTATTAGCTCACTGTCTTGTGCTATTCTGGATTCCAGCAGCACTGCACATTGGTGGTGCATTCATTTCAATATTTCTTTAAAAGATAGTGTTCAATTTGCTGCTGGGGGATGGAAAGGACTTGCTCTGTTTTGCCAATGAAGAGAGAGAAGGATTAGCTATTTTAACCATCTCTTTGCATATGTACTGTGGAAGGTAGTAAGATCATCCACCTGGTAAAGTCTGGAACTGGGCCATTTAACCAATTACTTCAGCAAGTTTTCTGTGGAATGGCCATATTTGATAAAGCTTAAGTTTATTTAAGTTTATTTATTTAAGTTTATTTAAGATGGCTGCCAGTGAATAAAATGCTAAATATTTTACCCTTTCTAATTGTTCATGTTTTCTGATATTTATCTTAATAAATATTTGTTCCCTTTTAGCCTTTTATATTATGGCAATTAGTTTATTTTGCAGATGCAGAGGTGGGATTCAGCCAGTTCGGACCGGTTCAAGCGAACCAGATGCTAATTTTACATCTGGTTCGCCAAACCGGTAGTTGAAAGGACTGGCCCATCCCTTCCCTTGCCTCCCAGGAGTCTCCACGTGGCCCATTTTGGATGCTAGGTAAGTGCAGGGCCCGCGTAGAGGCTCTGAGAGGGCGAGAAATGGGCCTCCCGGAAGTTCCGCTGTGGTGCAGGAGGCCGACTAAGCCACACCCACCATGACCACACCCACCATGACCACGCCCACCCAGCAACGGGGTAGAGAACCTAAAATTTTTCAATCCCACCGCTGTGCACATGGCTAATATGTATACTGTCTTGGAAACTATAGGTATGTTAAGTATATGTAACTGTAATACTTATGCATATATAAATAAAGCTACCCTGGAATGGAAAGCCACAAAATCATACATTGAAAAAAACTACAGCTTAACTTTTTCCTCAGTACAAGAAATTCAGTACTAGAACATTTGAAACAGACAACTGAAGAGGGACAGCTCTCCACCCTCTAGAAATTGAGGGTGGAAATCTTGAAGGTGGAAATCTTAATGTCAGTTGAAGTCTCCTCTTCTGCAACTTCAGTTCTGTTGGTCTAATTCCGCTGTCTACATAGGCAGGGAATAATATTTGTCATTATTTGTATGACAGTACTATAAGTATTTGATGAAAGTTTAATCTCCCATTCCTCTTCTCCAGATGATTACTAGTGCAGACACAACTTTTATATGCTCTATGATTTATTGAAATTTTGTTTATGTTTTGACAGATTTTTCCCTTTGAGTTGCATGTTGTGTACATTATTTTATGATATTTTAATACGAATGCAATGTAGAAATACGTATATTTTAAGAATTAAATATATGGATACACTTAATTCATTCAGCCTTTCTTCATAAGATTATTTAAACTGCAACTCCACAGTCATCTTATAGGAGAGATGGGCGGCATAAAAATTTAATCAATAATAATAATAAATTCTGTCAGAAGAGCTAGGCAACTCGTAGACATGTTTGATATTCTCTACATTTCCAAAGATTAAAAAAAAGGCAAATGTTCTGCTATGCGATATTCAGACTCCCCTCCTTTTTAAAAAAATGAAATAAATATAAATAAACGAATTAAGCCTCTTGTAAGTTTAATGCATTTATTTTGTGTTTGACTTCTCACCAAACATGGGCACGTGGAATTAAGGGCCAATCTTGTTGTCTGATGGTGGCAATGTGGACCTCAGATAAGGTAACATAGATGGATGATCTAAAGTTTGTAAGTAATCTCCAATTTATTTATTTAGTAGATTTATAGGCCGCCCAATCCCGGAGGGATTATATTATATCTTCCTAGGATTCTTCCAAATTTTGATGGCAAAATGACTGAATTTCCATAATTATGGTTTTTCTGTGATTTCCTTCCCAAAATTAAAGTTTAAACCATTCTCATTTCTTCCTTTAAATGTTCCCATGCACAGAAGCATTGGCGCATAAGCGAATGTGCGTGGGAGCACGCCTGAACCAGTAGTGAAAAAAATCGGCAACCCACCTCTGTCCCAAGCCACCAGATAGGGGTGGATTTTCTCTAAGACGTTTCCCACTATAATTCTACTTCTATTCATACACCCCCGCCCCCCTCAACCCCGAGAAAATATGATGAAGTTATCCAGCTATTAGATGGTTTCTTTGTAAGATTGTAAAGCAAGATTGCAGCTCTTCCAACATTGCCTACCTGCTAATACAAATCTGTGGAAGATACTTTGCAGCAACAGTATTTATGCCAAGATGATTGTCAGAATCTTAGAATGAACATCACATGAAAACAACTTACCAGCCTGCAACCAGATCTGTTCAAGAGTTGTCCACAGCTGAATAGGCCCTTGCTTTGAGGCAGAACTCTGCATAGTTATCTCTGACATGGCCTGTTCCAGTCGTGATGCTGCAATGGAAGATGCTCGCTGGGAGCCTGGAAGGAGACGTAGAAGATATGACTCAGATATTATTCGATTGCTGTTTGTACAGTATAAGGGGGCGAGAGGGAAGTACCTTGATCCACATATTAGACGTATGGCCCAGTGGGAGGCCCATATTAAAACAACATACCTCATGTGTGACCAGAATCTAAAAACAACATTTAACACAGCCCAAATTCTGACTAAAATGGTCCGACTGAGATCGGCTTTTTATTTGTTTGTTTATTTATTTATTTATTTATTTATTTATTTATTTATTTATTTATTTATTTATTTATTTAT